CGTACCTTTCACCATACATTAATTCAAGATAGATCACAGACTTAAATGTAAGTACTAAATCTATAAAGCTTCTAAAGAAAACATAGGAGAATATCTTCCAAACCTTGGGAATAATCAAAGGTTTCTTTTCAAGGTAGAAAAAAGAAATAATCACAAAAGACAAAGGACTAAAAACCTGCTAGAAACATGGGGAAAGACATTAATAGGCAATAAAAAAGATTTAAAATGTTCAAGCACACTCCTATTTAAAAAATTAAGAAGGCAACACTGAGATACCATTTCCATGTATTAGATTGCTAAAAATGAAAAAGAATGACAACACATGCTGTTGGCTAGACTGTGGAGGGGAAATAGGCACTCTTATACATTACAAGTGGGAATGAAAATTGGTGCAACAGTCCCACAGGGGAATTTAGAAATACCCAACAAAACTGTATACGTACTTACCTCTGACCCAGCAATCCCACTTCTAAAAATCTACCCTGAAGATATGCCTCTAGCCCTAACCGGTTTGGCTCAATGGATAGAGTGTCGGCCTGCGGACTGTGGGGTCCCGGGTTCGACTCCAGTCAAGGGCATGTACCTTGGTTGCGGGCACTTCCCCAGTGGGAGGTGGGCGGGAGGCAGCTGATTGATGTTTCTCTCTCATTGATGTTTCAAACTCTCTATCCCTCTCCCTTCCTCTCTGTAAAAAATCAATAAAATATATTTTTAAAAAAAAGATATGCCTCTAAGCAATACAAAAATACATATATACAAAGTTATTTATTGCAGCATTATTTCTAGTAGCAAAATATTGTAAAGGACCTGGTGGTAAAGAGGGAATTAGTCAATCATTTGATCTGAAGAGTCTCCTTGAGGAACTTCAAACTTTCATTGCTTGATCTCTGTAAACCATGTTTTTTTCTTCAAAAAATATCCATAATAAGAGAGTGGTTGAATAAACTATGATAAATGTATATACTGGAATATTTTTATGCAACTATATAAACAAAAGCTATGAGTATCTCTTTGAATTGTGATGGAGTAATGTCCAGTATATATCATTAAGTGAAATAAGCAATGTTCAAAACAGTATGCTATTTTTTTCTGATTTTATTTTTCTTTATTTTTATTGTTGACACTATCACAGATATCCCCATTCCCTCTCCTCTTCCCCCCTCCTTCACCCAGCCCCTGCTCCTCCATTCCTCTGGCCATCACTGTGGTCTGTGTCTATGGGTTAAGCATATACTGTATGTTCTTTGGCTAATCCCTTCACCTTCTTTCATCCCTCCCTCTCCCCTCTGACAGCTATCAGTCTGTTCCATATATCTATGCCTCTGTTTCTATTTTGTTCCTCAGTTTATTTTGTTCATTAGATTCCACATATAAGTGAGATCATACAGTATTTGTCTTTCTCTGACTGGCTTATTTCACTTACCATATAATCTTCAGGTTGATTGCAAAAAAAGAGGTCATTTGAAAGAATACATGTCCCTATTCATTTGTGCAAAATAAATAGCAGAAGGACAAAGCAGAAACTAATGAGGTTGATTATGTATAGGGAGTAGACAGGAACCACATTAATGTTTTCATACTCAAAATACTGCGACATGCAACAATCAACCAGGATGTGGGGGAACCCAAAGTGTACAAACAAAGCTAAACATATGAAAAATGAGTAACAAAACTACACTGAAGAGGAAGGCAAAGAAAAGAATAAAATTAGAAACAGTTTTTGAGCATATACTGTAGAGTTAAAGAAAAAAATGCACAGAAATACTTTATTGTAGTTAGTAAATTTGTTTTTAAATATATATATTTTTATTGATTTCAGAGAGGAAGGGAGGGGAAGACAGAAACATCAATGATGAGAGAGAATTATTGATCGGCTGCTTGCTACATGCTCCCTACTGGGGACTAATCCTGCACCAGGGCATGTGCTCTGACCCGGAATAGAACCATGACTTCCTAGTTCATAGGTCGATGTCAACCACATAGCCACACAGGCTGGGGTAAATTTGTGGGTTTTTTAATATAAGTATGAGTTAGCAATTCTGAAACTACTTTACATGTATTCTAGGGTATGAGTAAAAAAAAAAATGACACTAGAATCAGGTTTCTCATTGTTGGAGAAAGGAGTTACAAATAAGGAAATGGCCAAATTTGATGGGAAACAATTCTCCTTGTGTCTTGCATGTTTCTGCACATCTTGCCATCGAAAGCACTAGAATTATTATCTTGTACTATTTCTCCAAGATGTTTATGTAGTGAACAGCCTTGAAAGGCAGAGATATTCTCTCTTCAGAGCAAAGGGAAGGCATGCTTATTGCCCACTACATAAGATTCAGGTTCCCTAAATTCATGGGAGCACACAAATACCTGTGTAATTGCATCACCCTATGGGTGCAAGAGAGCCAATGCAAGGCAATGTTGATACTTTGGCTTTTGCTATAAGCAATAAACTGTCTTTCTTTTCTGACCTGAAAGTCTCACATCTTCTACCAGCAACTGTGAAACTGTGGCCAGCTAACTTGTTAACATTCAGGTATGGTGAAATCTCAGACACTTCACAGTTCTTGACAGAATCCTGTGGTACTGGGTTGGAATAGAAAGTTTTAAATAGTGGCTTTTTAATATATACAAATTAATAGGTAGGTAGATAGATATAGATGTATTTATTCTAGTTTTGTCCACTGACAAAACTAGATCAATTACACCAAGGTAGCAATGAGCAAACCTAGTGCCCAGAGCTTGGTTTATAAATCCATTCTGCAATAAAATATACCAGGGCTCCTTGGAAAATTGCTGATGCCAGGGCTGGAGGAGGAAAAATACAAGATAAGCCTGGAACATCATGGTGCCAGAAAGTAAGAAAGCACTAAAAAAATGGCATGTTGAAAGGACACAGGAGTCAACAAGAAGGAGTTCTTAATGGCCAAATCTGGAACAATTTAGCAATAAAATCCTATATAATAAAGAGGTAATATGCAAATTGACTGTCATGCCCTTGCACAAGATGGCCACGCCCATGTCATCACAAGATGGCTGCCCCCATATGGTCACAATATGGCCACCACAAGATGGCCAGCAAGGTAGGGCAGTTGGGGACGAACAGGCCAGCAGGGGAGGGCAGTTGGGGGCAACCGGGCCTGCAGGGGAGGGGAGTTGGGGGGGACTGGGCCTGCAGGGAGGGCAGTTAGGGGCGACCAGGCTGGCAGGGAGGGCAGTTGGGGGTGACCGGGTCTGCAAGGAAGGGCAGTTAGGGATGACCAAGCCAGCAGGGGAGAGGTTAGGGGGCAATCAGGCAGGCAAGCAGGCGAGCAGTTGGGAGCCAGCAGTCCCGAATTGTGAGAGGGATGTCCAACCACAGTCGGACATCCCCTGAGGGGTCCCAGATTGGAGAGGGTGCAGGCTGGGCTGAGGGACACGCCCCCCCCCCCCCGGAGGGCATGAATTTCATGCACCGGGTCTCTAGTATATAATAATACTGAATTAATACTCAAAGAATAAAATAACCATGAGTCCATAAATAAATAATCAAATAAACACATGAGGAATAAAGAACATTTCCTCCTTACAGTAGAATTTATTTTTTAATATATTTTTATTTATTTCAGAGAGGAAAGGAGAGGGAGAGAGATAGAAACATCAATGAGATGAGAGAGAATCATTGACTGGTTGCCTCCTGCATGCCCCCTACTGGGGATTGAGCCCGAAACCCAGCCATGTGCCTGACCAGGAATTGAACCATGATCTAGTTCAGAGGTTGACACTCAACCACTGAGCTATGCCGGCTGGCCAGGCCTTACAGTAGAATTTAGAGAAAATCACCACTAGGCAAACATCACAGTAATAATTATTACAAACAAGAATTACCAATGAATGTTAAATTTATTGGGTGAAAGTATGATGAGAAATATTATTTTTGCATAGTCTCAAAGCATCTTCCCACAAGATACTAATTAAAAAGGGAAAATAGCCCTAACCGGTTTGGCTCAGTGGATAGAGCGTCGGCCTGCGGACTCAAGGGTCCCAGGTTCGATTCCAGTCAAGGGCATGTACCTTGGTTGCAGGCACATCCCCAGTGGGGAGTGTGCAGGAGGCAGCTGATCGATGTTTCTAACTCTCTATCCCTCTCCCTTCCTCTCTGCAAAAAATCAATAAAATATATTTTTTTTTAAAAAAAGGGAAAATAGTAATTTTACATAGGAAAAACCTGGTACCCACCACCAACTAATTTGTAATAGCCAAAACCTGGAAACTAGCAAATGTCCATCAACAATATAATTAATTACTAAACTGCAATACTAGTATATCGCCAAATGTAATGAGCACTAAGTACAATTATATTCAACAACATGGATGAATCTCAGGCATAATGTGGAACAAAAGAAGCCAGGCATAAAAAAGTACATGCTATATAATTCTATTTAAATATGAAATTCAAGAATCGGTAAAATTAACTAATGGGGATAGGTTTCTGATTGTGATTCTGGGAGGAAAAATAACTGGGAAGGGGTTTGAAGGAAAGTTCTGGGCAGGAAATTGTTATATAGCTGTATACTTAACTTCTGTGCACTTTACTATATATATACTATATCTCATAAAAATGTTTTTAAAACTATCAGAACCGGGGAGGGGGGGCTATAAGGGGTCAATGGGGGAAAAGGAGAAAGTATATAAATCTTTCAACAATAAGATTTTAAAAAGAAAATAGGACTTTGTAAAAAGAAAAACTATGAGAACCACGTTTTGGTAGGGATATAGAACAATGAAATGCTTCAAACACTGCTGTGCAAATATAAATTTGTACACCCATTTTGGTAAATATTATTTAGTAAAGCGGAAGATATTATACAGCCCAGTAATTCCATTGGTAGATAAACTCATGCACGTGTACCTTATGTAAAAGAATGTTTGCACAGCATTGCTTATAAAGTAAAACAGACTAGAAAATAACTCAAATCCATCAATACTAGAAAGGATGAGCCCAGCTGGTGCAGTCAGAGACCTACCTGGGGCGGGCAAGATGGCTCTTGAACGTCAGGATTTCCGTCCGCGCTTAACTGCGTCCCAGCTGAAACCTAGAGCATCAACCCATGAACCTAGAAATCACAGGTTCCTTGTCAGGGCATATGCTGGGGTTTCAGGCTCAATTTGGGAGGAGGCGGTGGAGAGGGAGGGAGGAGGCAGCCAATCAATGTTTCTCTCTCATCGATGTTTCTATCTCAATCCCTCTCCCTTCCTCTCTAAAATCAATACATATTTTTTATAAAGGAACCACTATTATATCTAATATGGGAAATCCTCAAAAACAATTGTACAAATAAGCAAAAATAAAAGATAAAGGAGAGCATTCATATAAAGTTTAAAAACCAGGGAAAACTACAGTATAATGCTTAGAGAGGTATAAATAAATGAAAAACCTCATACATTTATCCAGTCTCGAAAATCACATAACCACTATGGGAACATAAAGCTAGAAGTAACCCACAATCAAAGCAACAGGGCTTCAGAGGGTCACAAGCATCGCATACCTGTACTTGGTCGCAGAGTCACAATCACACTAAACAGATAAAACCACACAGTATTCACAGGTACCCCTACATGCACTCTCCACAGCACGCGGTCACACACTCACACACCCCGACGGGGACAAACGCTATCACACCCCCCGAGCCAAAAGCTTTCCACACCTGCACATACAAAGCTGCACGTGGCTCCAACCACACACACACACACACACACACACACACACACGGAGTACCGTCCTGTCACACCAGCAGTCGCTGGCTCGCCGACACCGCTGCACACGGTAATAGCAAGTCACACCCACGCGGTCAGTCTCCACATGGACGAAATCACACCATTTAAATCTGATCTCCCGGGTACAAAGCCTGGGCTCCGGTCTCGCCGCCTCCTTGCGTTCCTCACCTCAGCAGCAGAGCCCCTCCACAGAACTGTAGCAGTTGCTGGTGTAGACCCGAGGGTCCCGCCAGCGCGTGACTTAGAGGCTGAATTAACGCGAGAATCCCGTTACGCTGAGGAGTCCTCTGGGCAATGCAGTCAGAGACCTACCTGGGGCGGGCAAGATGGCTCTTGAGCGTCAGGATTTCCGTCCGCGCTTAACTGTGTCCCAGCCGAAACGACTGCTCCCTCACCCAACGGCGCACCGGAGGCCTCAGGGAGCCTGGCGTCCCTCCGGCCGTGGCTCCTGAAAAAGGCCACTCGGACGCGTTCGATGGGTTTCGTTCCCTTATCCGACCCAGCAGTAGGACAGCCTCGGGAAGAGGCTAGTTCCCCACGAAAGAGAAGACGCGCCGCCGGCGCTTCTGGGAAATGTAGCTCGGGGCCGTGATTCTTCAGCCTGCGCCGGCTACGCCGCGGACATTTCTGGGAGCGCACGGTGTCCTGGGCCGCTGCTTTGGCCTGCGTTCCGAAGTAACTTTGGCTTGGGGTTCTTCCGCGCAGAGGAGTTGTGGGACCTAAGTTTCTGAGTCCCAGAGCCCGACCGGGAGGCTGAAGGGGACGCAGACTAGGATCCTGCAAAGGGAATGGGGAGGCTGGTAAGGAGGAATCGCTAAACGTGAAACGGGATAGGGAAGGCCAAAGAGGAGGAGTTTCCGAAATTGCGAAAGAGGCTGGCATTCTGAGCTGACTTTTGTATGAAATGTCTTGGCCTGAGGAGAATAAGGCAGGGGTGAGGCAGGCTTTGCTAGAAAAAAGTAAGAGAGAGAGAGGGGTGGGGGAGGGGAGGGGAGAGAGTTGGGCGTCGCAGAGGGAGAAACTGGATTCAGGATTTTGTATGGGTGTGTGTATAATTGAAAGTTTAAATAAGTATCACTGTATATATCACAGTGATTGCATTTTTTTAATTTGATGGGAGAAAGGTTACATAATTGAGCTAATAAATTATTTAATATGTTTTTATAGATTTTAGAGGAGAGATAGAAACATCAATGATGAGACAGAATCATTGATCAGCTGCCCCTACTGCAGATCCAGCCGCAACCTGGTCTCTGCCCTAACGGGAATCCAACCATGACCTCCTGGTTCATAGGTCTATGCTCAACCACTGAGAACAGGGGGAGGGGGATGCGAATAAATGATTTAAAGCGTGTAAAACCTTAAGCATCTGTATAGAATAGAAATAAAAACTGTTGTTTTCTTTAAAAAGAAAGCCAGAGGCTGGGTGGAGGGGGCAAAGGAGAGGAAAATAGGGACATCTGCAATAGTGTCAACAATAAAAATAAAGAAAAATAAAATAATAAAACAAAAAGAAAGACAATTCCAAGGGACTTGTTTTTTAAATGGGGTTCTTGCTCTTGCTTAGACTGCAGACTGGAGACATAGCCTTTCAATCTTATGGGTTCTTTTCGAGTCCTGGTTGAAGGGGGTAAGTCTAAGCCAGTGGTGGGCAAACTGCGGCTCGCGAGCCACATGCGGCCCTTTGGCCCCTTGAATGTGGCTCTTCCTAAGCCTTAGGAGTACCCTAATTAAGTTAATAACAATGTACCTACCTATATAGTTTAAGTTTAAAAAATTTGGCTCTCAAAAGAAATTTCAATCGTTGTACTGTTGATATTTGGCTCTGTTGACTAATGAGTTTGACGACCACTGGTCTAAGTGATGTAAGCCTAAGCGCATGTACAGTGCGATTGAAACTTCGTGGCCCATGCCCAGAAGTCGGTATTTTGTGGAAGAGCCACACTCAAGGGGCTAAAGAGCCGCATGTGGCTTGCGAGCCGCAGTTTGCTGACCACTGGTCTAAGGGAACAGATTTGTGAAGTCCTGGATTAAGAAACAACTTTAAAGTTCGAAGGGTAGTGTCGACCATTGCATAGAAAAGAAGTGAATTAGGCAGTGTTAGTCCCATTTTTTGAAGAAAAAAACATGGCTTACAGAGATCAAGGAATGTAAGTTTGAGTTCCTCAAGGAGACTTTTCAGATTACCTCCAGGCCAGATGAATTTTGTTAGGTATAAAAATTACTATTTTCTAACTGCAAAATGCTGTCTCCAAATATTTTATTGTAGTTACTTTTAACCTATTTTTTAAAAAAATTGATTTTAGAGAGAGAAAGGGAAAGAAAAAGAAAAACATTGATTTGTTATTCTACTTATTTTTATATTCATTGGTTGATTCTTGTATGTGCCCTGACTGGAAGATTGAATGAGAAATCTTGGCATATGAAGAGGACTCTATAACCAACTGAGCTTCCCTGGCCAGGCCTGATTGGTTGATTCTTTTATGTGCCGTAAAGAGAGATGAACCCACAACCTGGGCCAACCAGAGAACAGTCTAAGAAACTGGGCCAGGGTTAACATCTATACTAATAAAAGGGTAATATGCTAATTAGACCAGACATTTTCCAGACTAACTTCCAGACAAAGCCATGGTGGCGGGGCTGAGGCAGAGGCAGTTAGGGGCGATCAGGCCAGCAGGGGAGAGCAGTTAGGGGCGATCAAGCTGGCAGGGGTGAGCAGTTAGGGGGATCAGGCTGGCAGGGGAGAGCAGTTAGAGGGATCAGGCTGGCAGGCAGGTGAGCAGTTAGGAACCAGCGGTCCCGGATTGCAAGAGGGATGTCCAACTGATGGTTGTGGGATTGGGCCTAAACCGGCAGTTAGACATCCCCTGAGGAGTCCCGGATTGGAGAGGGTGCAGGCCAAGCTGAGGAACCTTCCCACTCCCCCCCATGCACGAATTTCGTACACTGGACCTCTAGTAATCTGTAATAATAAAAGGGTAATATGCTAATTAGACCAGATGTCATTCCGGATGTCCTTCCTGACAAAGCCAGGGCTGGAGGGAAGCCAGCCAGGTCCCGGGTCCTGGGTGCCAGAGGGAAGCCGGTGCCGGCAGCCGGGGGAAGGACAGCCTACTCTTGCACAAATTTTCATGCATTGGGTCTCTGGTTTTAAATAAAAGGAGAAAATAAGACAGTGGGTATAAAATTTGTGTAAATAAACTTCATATATACAAACAAACCCTTGCAGTACAGTTAAATGCTTAAGAATAATCAGCAATAAACAAAAAAATAAGTTTAATACACAATTGAAAGGCACAGAAAAAACCTTAGCCAATGAAAGAAATTATGCTATATATATCCTTGAATAAAAGTCTGTAACACAAACATATCATTTTAAATAATTTATGAATTTAACATCCCATTTAAAATGTATTTTTCTAAATAGGGATTTTTCTAAAGTTTAAGTGGAAAACCAAAGGTAAGAATAGACAGTATACTTGGGCAGAAAATGCAGTATGGGGCAGTTGGGGCTAGTCTTACCAGATAACAAACCATATCCTTAAACTTCAAATATTGGCCCTAGCCTGTGGTTAGAGCATTGGCCCACAGACTGAAGGATCATGGATTCGATTCCAGACAAGGGCACGTACCTCAGTTGCAGGTTCCATCCCTGGCTCAGTTGGGGTGCATGTGGGAGGCAACCAATCAATGTGTCTCTCACATAAATATTTCTCTGTCTGTCTCCCTTCCTTGCATTCTCTCTAAAAATCAATGGAAAAATATCCTGGGGTGAGGATTAACAAAATAATCCTATATAATAAAAGCCTAATATGCAAATTGTCCCCTTGACTGGGAGTTCAACCAGGGGGCAGGGGCGGCCAGCCAACCACCCTCAGCCCCTTCCCCCCTGGCCAGATCGGCAACCCATGCACGAATTCGTGCACCGGGCCTCTATTAATATGGTAATAATAATAATTGCTACCTCAGATAAGTTTTGATATGTTCTGTTTTCATTTTCATTTCTTTCAGAGTATTTTTTAAATGTTCCTTGTGATTTCTTCTTTGACCCCTTGTTTTAAGAGTGTGATGTTTAATTTCTATATATTTGGAATTTTCCATTTTCTGCTGTTATTGATGTCTAATTTCATTTAATTACACATAATTAGAAATTATATTTTGTATTAATCAACCTTTTAAAATTTATCACGACTTGTTTTCTGGCCTGACATTGTCTATTCTGCAAGAAGTTCTATATGAACTTCAAAACATTTTTTCTTCTGCTGTTGCTAGGTGCAGTGTTTTCTGTTTGTTAGGTTTAAATGGTTTTTTAATCTTTTATGTTCTCCTTGATTTTCCTGTTGTTCTATCCATTATTGAAAATAGAGTACAGTTAGGTAATTTTGTCATTATGTGAACATCATAAAGTATACAGGCATACCTCATTTTATTGCACTTCACATGTATTGTGTTCTTTACAGATTGAAGGTTTGTAGCAACCCTGTGTTGAACAAGTCTATTGCTGTCATTTTCCCAATAGGTTCAGGTGATGATTAGCATTTCTAGCAATAATAAGTATTTTTAAATTATGGTATATACATTTTTTAGATATAATGCTTTAGCACAACTTAATAGACTATAATGCAAATATAATGTTTATATGCCCTGGGAAACCAAAAAATTCCTGTGACTCACTTTATTGTGATATTGTGGTGTTCTGTAAAAGAACCCACAGTATCTCTGAGGTATGCCTGTACTTACACAAACCTAGATGATACAGTTTACTGCACACCTATGCTATGTAATATACCCTATTGCTCCTAGGCTACAAACCTGTACAGCATACTGTAGGCAATTGTAACACAATGGTATTTGTTTATCTAAACATAGGTAAGGTACAGTAAAAACAGAGCATAGCCTTGGCCAGTGTGCTCAGTTGGTTGAGTATCATCCCATGCACTGAAAGGTTGCCAGTTCGATTCCTGGTCAGGGCACATGCTCAGGTTGTGGGTTTAGTCCCCAGTTGGGGTGCATACAGGAGGCAACTGATCAGTATTTCTCTCTCACATTGATTGGTGTTTCTCTCTTTCTCTTCCTCTACCTTCTTCTTTATCTAAAATCAATTAAAAATACTTAAAAAGAAACATAGCATAAAAGATTAAAAAATGGTACACCTAGATAGAGCACTTACCAATAATGGAGCTTACAGGTCTGGAAGTTGCTCTGGGGGAGTTGAATTCATGCTGACTTAATGTGATATTATCATATACTACTGTAAACTTTATAAACACTGCATACTTAGGCTACCCTAAATTTATTTACACTTATTCAATAATAAACTAACATCAGCTTAATGTAACTTTTTACTTTATAAACTTAAGAAGTTTTAACTTTTTTATTTTTTATTTTAATCCTTACCCTAGGATATTTTTCCATTTTTTTTTTTTTTTTTTTGAGAGAGAGAGAGAGAGTAGAGGGGAGGGAGGAGGGAGGAGAGAGAGAAACATCAATTACAGGGATTGATTGCCTCCCAAGCGCATCTCAACCAGGGCTGTGAATCGAACCTGTGACCTTTCAAGCCAAACCAGCCAGGGCACTTTTTGATTCTTTTGTAATAATACTTAGCTTAAAACAGTTTACAGCTATAAAACAATATTTATCTTTATATCCTTATTGTAAAAGCTATTTTCTTTTAATTAAAATGTTTACCTTTAAAAACTATTTGTAGCCGAAACCGGTTTGGCTCAGTGGATAGAGCGTCGGCCTGTGGACTGAAGGGTCCCGGGTTTGATTCCGGT